GATCACAAAAAGGTATGGAATGGAGAAGAATGTTCCCTTTCCTGTCCTATGTAAGGTAATGTAATCTATGTGCACGCATTATAACTGGTGAATTTTATTATATTAAGTAGTAAGAAATACAGAAAGCCCCAGAGTAGCTCTAAAGCAGCTAGAAAAAATTAAAAAAAAATGAGAAAATAAATCTGTATTTGCTTTTCAGTCCTGATTTCCATATTAGAAAAGGAGGAAAAAGCTCTTCTGAGCTATGGCATTTTCTGATGTCAGATGCAAGCTGAACCATTTCCTTTTCCAAGGCAGAGCAGAAGGTTCCATCATTTAATCATTCCCAGCACTTAGGATCAGACAAGTAAGGCAAGTTGCAAGGTCTGCATTAATATCAACACTCCAGCGACCTCTCCCACCCCATGGCACAGTGAGAACTCAATTTGATATTAATAAACCCCAACACCAAACTGTTAGAAACTCCGAAGACACCCGGTATTACAACTTCCATAAATTACAGCTGAGCTCAAATGGCCCGTACAAGCAATTGTACAGTGATAAAGCCTAAGTGGATGATATTTAAACAGATATTTGATTTACTGCAGAATTTTACATCATGCTGGAATTCAAATGACAATTTACAAGTGCAGAGAGCAGAAATGCCTGCCCCATGCAAAGTGCTGTTTGCAGTGCTCTGTCAGAAGAGCTGAGTGCTCTGCAGGAAGGAATCCTTCCCTCTGATGGTCTCAGGGCACAGAAGCCAAATGATAAAACAGGACATTTAAACAGAGAATGAACCAAGCTGCTGCTTCATCCCCAGGAAGGAAATTGCATCCTCACAGTGATGTCTCACAATTCTCATTTTTGCAAGGCCTTCCTGGCACCACAAAAACTTCTGATGTGAATTTGGGGGTGTGTCTGTCAGGTTCTTTAGAGATGCACAAACTGTGAAGACTGGGGAGCAGACAGACCCATCTCTTCAGTGCCATCAGCACCACCAAAACCATGGAATTGTAAAAGCTCTCCAAGGCCACTGAGTGCGACCTGTGACTGTCCCCAGCCCTGAGTGCCACATCCAGCCCTTCCTTGGGCACCTCCAGGGATGGGCACTCCCAACCTCCCTGGGCAGCCCCATCCCACGGCCTGAGCTCCCTTTCCATGGAGAAATTCCTCCTGGTGTCCAACCTGAGCCTCCCCTGGCCCAGCCTGAGGCCGTTCCCTCTCCTCCTGTCCCTGTTCCTGGGAGCAGACCCAAACCCCCTGGCTGTCCCCTCCTGGCAGGAAAATTTCCTCATGGAAAGGGTGGAGAGGCACAGGATGCCCAGGGAAGTGGTGGAGTCATCATGCCTGGAAGTGCTCAAAAAACATTTGGATTTGGCACTTCGGAGCAGGGATTAGTGGTGGGCTTGGGAGTGCTGGGTTAAGGGCTGGACTTGATGCTATTAGAGGGTTTTTCCACCTGTAAAAATGTCGTGATTTTATGGAAATAAGAGCTGGATTCACAGAGGAGGAATTGTGGAATGCACAATCCAGAACAGAACTGTAACACCCAAACAGATCACAAATGGCTCCCCTGAGACCAGAAACCCTCCTGTTCCCCAGCAATGAGCAGCTACAGATAATTCTGGGTAATAAAAAATCCCCAAAAACATCAAGGGTAAGATTTATCAGAGGAAAAAACATCGCAGGCTTCCAGTGGGATCCAGGAAAACCTCTGGGCCAATAGCTGGAGCAGCAGTAATTGTTCCAAATCTATCAATAAAGCTGAGCTGCTCCTTCATTGACTGCAAACACCAATTTCTTTCATGGGGGATTATAAGTTGATGTTCATGGTCTCTCTACCACCATTAGGGTGATAAACAGTTGAAACTACATCAGGATCTGACACGCAGATCAATTCTGGGTCCATAAAGAATCTACACAAGAGATTCTTGGACAGGGATTTACTGCCCCCAGTTTTTATTCTCTCTCGCTGCTAAAATTACTTCTGTCAAGCACTCACAAGAGTATGGAGGAGAAGGGGAAGGGGAAAAAAAAAAGGAAAAAAGGCAAAAAGAATTAATTTTTCATGTGCTGCTGGAACAGCCTTTTGAAATTTCGGGAGTTTTTAAGGCAAATATGTTCCTGCATTGGAAATGATGCTGAACAGCAGGTGGGACTGAGCTAAATAGTGAGCCAGCAGCACGAGCTGCTCACTATCCAGCACGCAGCAATTTGAAACACCAAACTAAGCTGTCGAGATTTTCTCCCAGGGCAGTCGTGGGCTTCATGTTACCAGCGCCAAATTATATTAGACATTTAATTTTAAACCTCAGGTACTTAAATGTAAAACCTTACAACAGTAATAGTCATAAAGCAGTGGGGCATTCCATTTCAGAGAATGGATTTTTCTATTTTTCCCCTTTAATTTAACCAGCACCTCCTGTTTTGTGGCTCTGCCCACTACAAAGTAATTTATCTAATTAGGAGATGTTCACAGCTGCTTGAAAGACAGAAGCCCCAGGAAACCAAAGGTCTGGTTTGGAAGACTTTGAAAAGTTCTCTGGAGCCACACAAAGTATTAATTTAATGTGAAAAAAAGGTGCAGAGAAAAATTGAATCCCAATATGTTATTTTGTCTACAATAAAACCACGTGACAATAAGCAGGCATATTCTCCAGTACATTGGCATTTGAATTCCAAAAGATGCTTAGCTTCTTGCCATACCTGCTGCTTTCACAGTATTAGCTTTTTATGACTAAAATTCAAAAATCTTTTAATGGAGAAAAAACCCCCAGAAATTAAAAAGGGTTTTTCATGCGTCAACTTGCCAACATAAAGGACACATCTCTGAGCTTACCCAAAGATGATACACTCAGAGCAATCAATTATTCTTGAGGTTTTGTAGGAGTTTTAGCGCAATACTTCTGAGTCTGCTGACCCTTAGTTGCCTAAAACTCATTTTTAATCCAACTTTCTCTCCATATTTATTAAAAAAAACCAACTTCTAAAATTTTTTTCTTTAAAAATATTAGAGCCTCTGCAAGAAATTATTTGAGGTAGGCTGATTCACAAACACCCACCAGTCACCTGCAATTTCAAAATAAGTATTTCACAGGTAATTCTGGCTGTCATCTCTTTTGAGCCAGAAGTAATCCCATATGAATGTCAAGTCAGAAAAAGGTACTGCACATATGGGAGGGTGCAGAGCTGGTGTGGGAGAAAAGGTTCCCCTCATCAGGAATTGCAAAGCAGCTCGGGATCAGCAGCAGGAGCAAAAGGCAAGTCCAGCAAATACAGCATTCTGAAGTCAAGGGGATGGCAAACGGCAGGAATTGAGGTGCTATTTCTGCTTTTTAAGATTTTATTTCCACGCTGCTCACTTAATTTTGAAGGCTTTTCTCCCCTGCAGCCTCATTTGGGACATCTGGCACAGGGATGGCACCTGCTCAGCTGCCTGCAGGTGTCTCATGGTGCACAGGACTGCAGCCTACAGCTCCTGCTTTCCTCCTAGAGCCAGCACTCAACACTCTTCATCTTGCCTTAGAAAAGCTACGGGATGAAAGGCACAAAAAAAGCCCAAACTTTGGCCTAACCTTTTCGAAGGGAGATGAATTAAAATGACAAAGCAGCTCAGGAAAAAGAAACAGAAAATATTTAATTTTAAGTGGGAAACCAGCTCAGCATCCATGCTGGGCAATGAATGCTGCCTCCCCTAAAAGCTTTACCAGGAGTGGGTGAGCTGGGTGGACACAGAAGAGAACAGGGCTGGAGCATTTATTTCACTGTGCTGCTTCACAACATCCCTGCCTTCCTGCAGGGCTCAATCAGAAAATTCTTAGGCAAAATCTGGACCACTTTAATGCAAATTCTCCTGAAGGTGCTGCCCACATGGTTACAGCTCTAGAAAACAGTCTGTGCTTTGATAAGTATGAATTTGATAGTTAATGCCACTCTGAAACAAGGTGATCTTGATTTTAAACCTTCTGTTCTCCTAAGATGGCACTGAAAACTTGTCCAGAGCTGCTGGAAACCCCAGAGATGCTCTCAGGATGCTATAGTCAGATTCAGACCTTATGCAGACACAGAAATATATATGGGACATGTGAAATATTTCCCATATTCCCCTGACTGGTCCTATTTTAGGGGCAGCCATCAGAAACAACATTCCTCCCCTTTCTCCTGACCTATTCAGCTTGGTCTGGTAGCAAATACCACATCTACCCTTTAAAAACAAGTATTGCTACAAAGTACTACTCCCAAAACACCACCAGGAATAGTGTCTGCTCCTTTTAATGCTGTTAATGCTCCACAGAGGAAACACTGAGTCGGTGCCAGGAGTGTGCAGGCAATGGAGCAAGAGCACAGCAGAGAAAGGACACACTGAGGAGATCTGGAGGGTCATTTACTGCTAATACCCATCACACAGGGCAAGGAATCTGAGCAAACAGCACACATTATGTGGCTGTTCCATCCCTGCAAGCATCCAAGGCCTGGCTGGACGGAGCTTGGAGCAACCTGGGATAGTGGAAGGTCTCCCTGCCCCTTCCAACCCAGACCATTCTGGGATCCTATGATCATGTACCTGAAATTAAAATTAAGCAGTATTGTATCTATATTAGCTCTTCATGTTGAAAAAAGAATCACAGAATTCTTTGAGGTTTCTCCAAGTCCCATCCAGCCTGGCCTTGGACACTTCCAGGGCAGCCACGGCTTCACTGGGAAACCTCTGCAGGGCCTCACCACCCTCTCATGGAACGATTTCTCCCTAATATCCAAGCTAAACCTCCTCTCTTTCACTTTAAAGCCATTCCCCCTTGCCCTGTCACTCTGTGCCCTCATAAAAGAAGTACTGCATGGACCCATTCCCTTTTTTCCAATTCCCCTTTCCCCTCAGACACTGCCAAGTTCAGCACCCAACAGCACAACGGGGCTGGCATCATTTTGGGTTTTTTTTCCTTTTGAGATAAAAAGCAAGAGCACCAAACTCCCCATTGATCCCAAAGCATGTGACCCCCCCCAAGCTCCAGGTTTCTTACCACTGCTAATGCCAGAGTTGGCAATGACTGTGGCCTCGCTCCACTGATCTGCACTGGAGACCGAGTAGGAGCGCTGGTGCATACCGTCCGGGCGGCTGTTGAAGGACACCAGACTGATCCCACTGGCCATCTGAGACACAGATGTGCTAGTAGTCACGTTCCCTAGGCACAAAGGGAAAACAAATCGTGTCAATAGAGAGGACAAAAGGGGTTTTGCATCAGGATGGATGGGGGGCATCTTGAACAAGAGCAGAAACAGGGATTACTTCACCCACGCAACAGCTCTCCCTGAAGCGCTGGTGCTGATAGTCCTGAGACCAGCTCAAATCAAGCTAGGAAGACAAAAAAAGCCAAATTTCTCATGGTGTCACCTCATTCTGTTCATTCACCTTCTGGGAAACACGATCCTCCACCACCCTGCTACCAGGCACACTCTCTGGAGCTTGTCTGCTTGTTAGACTGCGCACAGAAAATCAATTTATTCCTAAAAGCCACTGTTTATACAACTGAGCCAACTCCAAGAGTTATGAACAATTCACCTCTAAATAATACCTGACACAGGTATGTCCCCCCAGAACACAATGATGGGGAGCAAATGACTGTCGGCACTGAAAAGCCAAGGGAAAAAGAACAACAAACTTTCTTGGACATTTAATCTTAAAACAGCATCGTGACACAAAGCAGACACTGGGCTGACTGCAGGGATCATTGCTGGGGCTCGTCCCTGGAATGTGACACAAAGAACAGCCTTTACCCCGTTAACACTTCTGTATTTTCACAATCACTGAGGCCTAGGACATTAAAATGCTGGGAGCTGTGTGAGAGCAGGAGTGACAGGGACAGGTTTCTCACCATAAAACAGGACAAGTGGGATCTGCTTGAATACATTTTAGAGTAGAAACAATTAAAACCTTTCCAGAAACTCAGGTTTCTGATGGTTTTACCCACAACTTGCTATGGGCCAAAACCTGCTCCACGCTTTTGGGTTCTGAGCACATTTTATTCCATTCCTAGCACGGGTCTTGCATATCATAAAGCCACAAAGAATTTACAGTGCCAGTTTCATTCCTCATGGCAGCTCTCTAAAGGTGCCCCACAGGTCCTCTACGGATTGCAGAATACTCTTAAAAAAAACACATGCAGAGGGAAAGGAACAGACGCAATATTATAACGTACCCTCACACTTTGCATTGCCATTGCACCTTCTACTGATGAGTTCAGAAAAATTAATGAATTAATTTTCAATGCTCCTGTGAGGTTGTTAATTATCTGCTATCATTTCCCCCATTTTTCAGAGGTTAAATGACCCAGGGCCACAAAGGAAGATTGTGGCAGACTTGAAAATAAAACCCAGATCTCCTGACTCCCAGTTCTATCATTATGTCTTTTCCCAGAGCAGCCTTTGGGAAGACAGCAGAGCTTAGTGAACTACTTTGTGTTTATTAGAGTTGGCATAATTGTCCCTTTCTCTCCTCCCCTTTCCCAAGACAAAATCTCCGTTTTAGAGCCATGTTGGGACCTCCCAAGACATGAGACTACAGAGCAGAGTACTACATTTATTTTAAAACCACAACAGAAAACAAAAACGTGAGCTGACAAAAGTTGTATTTTGTGCTGTCTTAAAAGAAATCTCTCCTTCCAAATCAGCTTCTGTGGTGTTTGAAATCCCCTTTTCTCCTGGTTTTCACAATCCAGAAAAACAATGAATATTAATAAATTATTTTGATGATCCACCAAATTAAAGGGAATTGTTGATGTGAGCGACAAGAGTTTGAGACTGAGTGGGTTTTACAAACTTGAGATTTAGGCCAACACAGACTCAACACAAGCAGTGATATTTTTATGCTGACATCTTCCACCTAGTCCACGAGTTTTTGAACACAAGTGTCCAATCACCTTCTAACCATGATGCAAAACCAAACCTTCAAAAGAGAACATCCAGATTTCTATGTCATCATGTCAGCACCAAAAGCTCTACTCTCACCTCAATGCCATCTGAGGAAACTCCAACCCCAGGCTGTCACATGAACCTGCTGAAAAGTGACTTATTCTGGGAACCAAAGAAGTTTTCTTCCACTGCACCTCTCTCAAAGCTATGGGCTGCTAGCACAAAACAGGTGCCAAGTGCACTCATGTGACACTTTACTGAACAGTGATGAACCCAGCCCAGCTCCCTCTTCCCTACTGCCATAGCCTGCTAACCTTTATCCTGCAACCTTCATGGTAGTATTTATTCAGGATTAAATCCCACTTTGTCCAGGTGCTCCAAGGTGTGTATTCCCATGACATATCAGACCACTGAGCCAGAATCCCTGAGTAGATATCAGGAGGGCCAGACTATAGAAGGTAGAGTGCCTTTCTTTTCCTGTTCCCCTCCTCGATGTGTTCAGCTCTAGTGCAAACTCGTTACTTCTTAGAACCTTATTTAAAAATCATTACTTCCCAATCCAGCCCTAAGTATTCCACTTCTCAGCCCAACTGCAGGACATGAATCCCACACTAGGCACTAATGCTGCCACCCCAAAACAAGGACTGCTGCTCTTGCACACCGTGTGTGCCACACAGAGCTTCTCCAGCACAGTCCCACAGTTCTTCCCATCTACAGTGGGCAAACCCCAAACCAGACCTGGCAAAAGTCCTTTCATTTTCCTCAAGGATAAAGCCTCAACAACAGAAAGCACCTCAGACTTTCAGCAGATTAGCAGGGGACAGTGACAAAGAGGAGGCCAGCAGTACTCAGTGAAAATGTCCCCACCTATGGCAGGGGGATTGGAGCAGATGAGATTTAAGGGTCCTCCCAACCCAAACCACTCCATGGCTCTCTGGTCCATGAAAAGCAAAGTCTGAATGTTGGGTTAGGCACATGAAGCCTCCACATCCTGCACCTCTTGTCCCCCCATCGACAGACAGACAGACAGACACACATCTTCACATGGATCCTGGCCTGCTACCTGGCCCACGCTGGAGCTGTGCAAGAGTTGTCTCTTCAAATGCATCCTACATGCATCAGCTGGTCGCTTAAGTTGATTAGCAGGGGGCAGTTAAATTACTATGCTAATCCATGTATTCTCAGCACTGTTTCCTTGATATGGATATGTGTATATGCTTACTGGGAAGCCTTGATTAGTTCAAGCTTCAATGTGTCAAAGGCTCCAGATTCTTTCCAAAGAATAATTTTAGCTGTACTCACATCCCTAAAGTGTGGGAGCTGATTTGAAAAGGTACTTACCTCTACCATATGCTATTTTTCTTTAAACAATTTGCATTTCAAAGGAAATATGGCATTTATATTTGAATGAATATCAGTATGTTGCCAGAACTTGTCTCAAATGAGCAAAAAAAAAGATGCTGGTCTCCTATTGAACAAAAATGTTTTCATCTACCAAAGGAGCATCAAAGAAAGAGTTCCTCTTTCTAGCTCTAGACAGCTTTATTAAAACTATCTTTTCTGATGTTATAAAACACCCCGTTACGGCCGCGCTTACAAAACGTTCAAACAATTAAGCCCCACAAAACCCATCCAAATTAAGATTCAAGGTAATTTCCAGGTTTGGCCACTGCTCAGCAGACGAGCCCCTAAGAAAAGTGAGCGTTCTCACACAAAATCCCATTTGAATACCCATTTATTCATAAATCACCGCAAAGAGCAGGTGGAGGCAAGAGGAATTAAGCCGAGGTGTGTGGAGAAGCTGAGGGAAACACACACTGGGGGCAGGAGGAGAACAAGGGAGTCACTCTGGCTCCTCACACACAGCCCTTTTGGATTTCCAAAACAACAGAGCAGAAATGCAAGACTTAGAAATGAAATGAAAATAATCAGGATTCACACAAGCACGGGACAGGACAAGATGTGAACAGTGTGTGTCTAGCAGATAAAAGCCAAAAGGTAAAGGGTCTATTGTAAAAATGGTAATAAAATATGCAATTAAGATTAATAGAAATGATGTCTTACACATATGCACTGACTTGTTCAACGAAAAAAGAAACCACTGATGGTTTTGGTCACGTCTGCTCCTGTAATGGAACAGTACGAGGGACAGCATGTCAGCAATCCCTCTTTTGCTGGTTTTAACTTAATAATCCAGTGAATTATCACAGGTTAGTGAAACAGACACATCATTTCAAGCCTTCACCAACTACGCCACCCACTAATTACAAATGCAGAATGAATGTAATTCACAAGCAGACCCTGAGAAGTGAGATACAAGTGACACAAACGATACTGGGCACAAATGATTTCCATTCCCCGCTGCAGACACATCTGTGGTTTCCTCCAAACAAATCAGCTACCAGAAGTTACATTCACAAGTGCAACTAATATACTCCTGGATTTATGAGACGAGCAGTCGGTGCAGGAGTTGTGAAGCAGAACTATATTTTTCTATGAAGCAGCAGCCTATGAGACTCGCAGGGGGCTGCACAGAAAGACTGATTCAGATAAACTGCAGCCCTACTGCTCTGCTTTCACCATGTTTTATTTGTGCCAAGCTCCTCATGTTCATGATGAGTTTCTCTGCAAAAAAAAAAAAGAAAAAAAAAAAAGAGAAGGCAATAAACCTCTCCCTCTTAAGGCCAGAGGGCTGCGCTCACCAGCTGTTAGAACTAATGAAAAATACATTAGAGTTGTGGGTCAGGAAATCCTGACTCTTGATATCAGAGGGTTAATTGTTTCAAATCATGTTGGGTCAATTTGTGTTGCAGGAATTCTGCCTATTCTTGAAATGCCCTCTAATTCAGCACCAGGCACTGTCAAGTAGGTTAGATTGGCTGTGGATGCCCCTTCCAAACCTACACCCAGCACTGCTCCCTCGAGTCTCTTCAGGGTGGAAAGGGAAAGGGAGAAGCCCCGTTGCTGGCTGCAAAAAGATGGGAAGCATTCCCTTCCCATCCACAGCTCTGCATCATGCTTACAATTCATGCCCAGAGTTGTGCAGAAACATTTCCAGTGGACAAACCTTTCCTGAGAAGTATCTGACCATCCCAGCTGTGCTTCCTGCCTCTCCTTCACCTTGGGACCAGGAACATTTGGGGATGGCTCTCCTGGGTTCCATCAGCTTGCTGCCTCAGCATCCATCTCTTCCAGGTGCATCCCACTTTCTGTGCCCACTCTGGAGATCATGTGCTGCACTGAAATCTGGGAAAACAGCTCCTTGCCTCTCCCA